CAATATGTCAAGTGTGCTAAAGTTTTGTTTTCCTGCCTTTGATTTGTTCTCAACTTGAGTGACGATGACCAGATGTTGGTGAGGTCAGAATAGACAAGATGCCTCCCTCTCCCCGAGGAGGCCAATGCTGAGCAACGTCTGAGTTGGACGGCCTCCCAGCACCTATGTGCCTGGAGCTGTGTCCACCCTGTTTTCTCTAACACATACAGTTTTTGTATTTTAAGCAGTTTCTACCCAGCACATTGGTTCACACTATGCTTTCCTGATTTCTGGCTAAACCGTCTGCATCTGTTTTATGTCTCACTCCTGAACTTTGTCCTGAATTTCACAACTACAGTTGTTCATCCCCACGCCTGCCCTTTTTGGAAAACTAGGCTCACTAGGTGATGAGGGTGACCTGCCTCCAGCCGGGCTGTGGGTGGGTGGAGGAGTCAGCTTTGAGTTAGCTGCATCTTCCTCACCCTTAGGAACTCTTCTCATGTCCCTTTATCTGTCCCAGGGTTTAAATTGTAGAGTCTCAATCATTAAAAAAAAAAACCCTTTATTTTATATTGAAGTGTAGTCACTTAGGTCTTCCCAGGTGGTGCTAGTAGTCTGCTGATGCAGGAGACGCAGATGTGATTGCTGGGCCCAGAAGATCCCTGGGAGAGGAAAAACCACTCCAGTATTCTTGTCTGGAGAATCCCATGGGCAGAGGAGACTGGCGGACTATGGTCTATAGTGTCGCAAAGAGTCACACACGACTGGAGTGACTTGGCACACACGTAGCCAACTAACAATGCTCTGATAGTTTCAGGTGGGCAGCAGAGGGACTCGGCTAGGTATACATGTACCCACTCTCCCCCTAGCTCCCCTCCCATCCAGGCTGACACATGACACTGAGCAGAGCTCCTGGTGCTGTACAGTAGGTCCTTGTTGGTGATCCATCTTAAATAAGTGAGTTTCCCAAGAGTGGACACCACGGCCTGTCCCGACTCTGCCCATGTGTGTGTGTGTGCTGACCCTTCTGTTCCTCAATGCCCCCTCCACTGGGCACCCTCAGAGGACTCGGCACACTGGCTCTTTGTTTTGACATCACTTGTCCTCACCAAAAGGCGCCTTTCCTGAGGCCAGGGACTGTCTGTCGTTCCTATTTCTTTGTCCCCAGCACAATACACTCAGGAGGTGTTGGGTGACTGACTTGGTTGTTTTCATGGTGCAGGAACTGGAAACATAGCTCTAAGACCTGAAATCACATGCTTCTTAGAGCTGGAAAGTGATGAGGTGTACCTGGCCAGGTGTGAGGATGCTGGAAGAGGTGGGTACACCTGACGGATCATGGACATGAGGGGCAGGGGGGGATACTGGGTTCTTTTATGGACCCAGTTCTGGGGAATGGAAACCCACACTGCAGAAAGTCAAGAACAAACTCTTTTGGGGGACTGTTGGGCAGGTAATAAAAGTGGATAACAGAAGTGATGGCTCAGCCATCAATGCCTGTCATCCCAAGAAACCTCAGGATTCTGCTGGAAGCAATCAGAGCTTTTGTGTAACACTTTACTGTAGGTTTAATTGCGTTTATATTTCAATGCCAAAGAGAGTAATTTGCAGCATGAATAAGGCATTAGATTTGCAATCCCCTACATTTTAAAACCCCATATAAAATGAGTGTTTGGTACTGGTGCTAGCAGAATTGTCATTTCTTGCTCAACTTTCAAAGAAATGAGAGTTGACTGTCAATATTAACATTTATAAAATTTTGAGTGACATTCTCATTACATCACTAGCCTCTGCTCTCTGCTGTGTGTGTGAGTCCAAAGCAGCCACACCCCAGACAGAGCTCAGGTGATGGGCTCTGGTGGGGTTGGGGGCTGTGCGGCTGAGACAGACAGAAGTGCTCAGAGTGACGTCATTACAACCTAGTGTTGATCATTTTAGTAAAATCAAGTGCTTTCTGGTTAATGAAAAATTGGGGGCAAACTCTGAATGCCTAAGGAGATGATGGTGTTTGGCAGTTTAGAGAAAGTCATGTTTATGAAGATGGGCCAGTTTTGGAATGGCAACTAGCATCACCTAATATAAGAGTGAAAAATTACACATTGAGAAGAAGCCAGGAGAGTACTTCTCTCCCGGAAGAGAACCTCAGTCACGTTGCTGCTGATGTCAGTGACGTGAGAGGTGCAGAGCTGCCCACCAGGGCATCTGCCTCTAAACGGAGGCCCCAGACAGGGACCCTAGCATGGCCACGTCCGGGGTCTCCGCCAGCCCCAAGGTGGGCGTGGCCATCACCACCACCATCCTCACCACAGTTGGCATCCCAGGGCTCTGCTCTCTGCCCGTATTATCTCGTTTCATGCGTTCACAGTGTTTAAAAGTATGTAATTTATTGGAAGTGAATTGTGTTTCTCATGAACTGTTTTCTATTTTGAACATGAAAATATTCACTCTGTCACTTTTCAAACTTAGAAAGGAGAATTTTGGCTGCTCTCCTCAGTTTGTGATGAACGTGATGATGGTGGCAGGGCCCTGCTTCTCTGGCCTGGTTTGGAACATGGACACAGAGCCTGAGGCTCTGAGACATCTGTCTGCAGAGGACCCACCGTCACCACAGAGACCCTGACCTTGAGAAACACCATTTAGTTGCGTTTTACTTCCATGTTATTGCCACCTCTCTCTCCTTACTTTTGGATGATAGTCTATGTGTCTGAAAACTATTCCGGGTTTTTCTTGCTACTGAGGAAAATGGTAGTGATGTGACTTTAATACATGTGAGAGTGACAGGTTCTAAATTCTGGTGGCTTTCTGAATCCCATACCCTTCCATCTGCAGCCCCCCCACCCCCCCACCCCCAACCCAGCCTGGCAGAAGCTGTTCATTGAAATGTAAACGGGGGACATTTGTGCACCTGTGTTTTATCGAAGAAGCTTGAAAACCAAAAAATAAATGAAAACTCTACACAGAATTGGTGGCTGAGGGACACTGTTTATAGATTTTATTCTCATGTCTCTAGACCATTCTGTTTGAATTCTCTTATCAGTTTTCAGCAGCTCACCCCATCTCTGGGTAATGTCTTTGTTGTTTAAAGGCATAAAAGTATCAATTCATGTGAGGAAAGCGTTGCATGTTTCTGGCTTTTAATTTTTGTTGTTGTTGTTTAGTTGCTAAGTCATGTCTGACTCTTTGTGACCCCATGGACTACAGCACTCCAGGCTTTCCTGTCCATCACCAACTCCCGGATGCTACGCAAACTCATGTCCATTGAGTCGGTGATGCCATCCAGCCATCTCATCCTCTGTCGTCCCCTTCTCCTCCCGCCTTCAATCTTTCCCAGCATCAGGGTCTTTTCAAAAGAGTCAGTTCTTCAGGTGGCCAAAGTATTGGAGTTTCAGCTTCAGCATCAGTCCTTCCAATGAACATTCTGGACTGATTTCCTTTAGGATGCACTGGTTGGATCTCCTTGCAGTCCAAGGGACTCTCAAGAGTCTTCTCCAGCACCACAATTCAAAGGCGTCAGTTTTTTAGCACTCAGCCTTCTTTATGGTCCAACAATCACATCCATACATGACTACTGAAAAAGCTATGGATTCGACTATATGGATATTTGTTGGCAAAGTGATGTCTCTGCATTTTAATATGCTTTCTTGGTTTGTCATAGCTTCCCTTCCAAGGAACAAGCATCTTTTAATTTCATGACTGTTGTCACTGTCTGCAGTGATTTTAAAGCCCAAGAAAAGAAAATCTGTCACTATGTTCAGTGACCATATTTTCTGACCATGTTTTATTCACATGAAACAATTCTCTATGCAATGTGTGAAATTTTCGCACACTGTCTTTTAGGGAAAATCAGAGACTTAGAGTTCTTCGTGTTGCAGGCTCTAACTGTGGTGCTCGGATGCAGTGCAGGCAGGTGTCGAGAAAGCGGGTGGAAGGTTCTAAAGGTTCTCCTTCTCCACTCACAGCTTCCGCAAGAAAACCCTTCCTCTGGTGGAGGTGAGCTTCCTTAGAAAGTAGGTGTGGACCCCAGTCAGGCCCCCTGATCGGCCCACTTTCACTGTGACTTTAATGTGTCAGTGGAATATAGGAACTGCACAAGCTGGAATTCTTTTTAAGTTCCATATTGAACTATGTATTCATTGAATACAGTTACAAAAGAACATAATATCTCAAAACTTGAGTCACAATCTTAGGCCTATTGCTGTCAAAAAGCAATTATAAGCTATTTTTATGCAGAGCTCAAACATAAAATTAAAGACTCAGAAATGAAAGAGAAACATTTTTAACCATACTACACAGCGCCTGCAACAACGTCTATCAGCCAAATGTGGGGCGTAGAAAATATGCATATTCTGCAACCCACAGAAAGTGTTCATAGAGGGGCTGGGAGAGTAATTTAGGCCAGCTGTTTGTAGTAACTTTATTCCTATGCTGGCTGATATATTAGGGTACAAAATGTAGAGGAAAGACTGTACTGAAATGTTTGAAATCCTGAAATAAACCAGCTTCTTTAGGATGAGGTTTTCAGAACCAGAGATGTGACCGCTTGATAACCGGTCTAAGCAATGTGTGTAGACAGACACACAGCTCTGTAGGGCTGGGTCCTCAGATGTGGGCAGAGGGGCCTTTGGGCTCCAGGGAGAGAGTCCTGACTTGCGGAAGTGCTGAGATGTCTCCATACCTGCAGCGTCCCCACGCGGGTGCTGTCCCGATGGATGGTCAGCATCCTGGACAGTCAGCCAGCCCTGATGGTGGCTGATTGGGGATGGTTTGCACCACATATGACAAAGGAGAGTGGGTGGGCATGGAGGGGCTTGTCTGCTGAGTTTCGACCCTGTACAGCTCGCTGACCTAGACAGCTACTGTGAGGTGGCCTGAGCCCTGATGCACACACAGCTCCAGAAGGTCCTTGTCTGTCTTACTGAAGTCTGGGGCCTGGGGTACTGGTCCGCATGCTGAGCTTGAATTTGCCACAGGTCCCTGTTGCTTTTCAAGTGTGGGTTTGATTTCTAGAGCTCTGGGTTCACCTAGGGTCAGGTCAAACGCTGGGAGTCCTGTGGGAAGAGGAAGAGAAAGTCTGGCTTTGGGGTGGCGCGGGGCTCCTGTCCCGGGGCGCTGGGCACTGCGCTGGCCACCTGAGCAGACAGTGGCCAGGACCCCGAGTCCCAGGCTCCCAGAAGTTCTCGGCAGGTCCTGCATCCTGTCTCCCAGGTGCTGCTGTGTTTCCTCCATGTGTGCCGGGGACCCCCAGACCTGAGAGGCCCCGGCTGCTGTCTGTAGGAGGGGCTGCTCCCAGGACCGCTCCCCCAAGGGGCTCTTCCCAGAAAGCACTCCTGCATCGAAGGTCCTGAGAGACCAAAACCAACTTCTGCCCAGGAATGGGGCCGTGGACACGATCTCACAAACCACCCAGACCTATAGACCTCAAATGCGTGTGGTCTCTGGGAGGAGAGGCTGTAGGCAAAAACAGAGACGTCCCACCCCCGGCAAGAGACACGCATGTAGTACATGTGTGCTCACCGCTGAGCACACGGGGCGTGTGCAGAAACCATTCTCATGCACGTTTGCAGGGCGTGCTGTGGAGACGTGTGCGGGCCGCAGGCTCTAGGTGTCCCCGCAGAGCCCCCACCCCTGAGGAGCTTAGGGCCCTGACCACACTGTTCTGGGCTGCAAGTAGCCTGCTCACACGGGAACCCCATGCCCCCACAGGGGTTCTGGTGCCTGCAGAAGACCCATTACCCGCTTCACTGAACTGTTAATTTGCAGAGCTCTTGCCCCTGGTGATGGAGGGACGTGCCCTCTGCCCAGGTGCCCGTGAGCATTGTTTTAAGTTACATGTATAATGCATGAGAAAAACACATTTGTCACACAATCCAGACACATAGATCAGGTGATAACGGTCACCCCAATGAGACTGGAAAGAAAAAAAAGCTATTACTTATTTCAATAACAGCTTTATTGCGATGTTCACATGCCGCAGAGTTCAACTGGAGAGTGCATTGCCGTGGTTTTAGCTCATTCTCAGGTTTGTGCAACTGTCACCACTCGCGTTTAGAAAATTCTTGTCCCTCCAAGAGACACCCTGTGCCCTTCCAGGGTCACGTCCCATCACCCCCAACCTCCCAGTCTGTAGACTGGCTGGCTGTGGGCAGTTCACAGAAACGGAACCGTGTCCTGTGTAGTTCTTGTGGCTGACTTTTACTCAGCATAATGCTTTCAGAGTTCATCTATTTGGCATTTCATTGATCAGCACTTCACTCCTTTTTATTTTTTGCTGAAGAATACTCTGTCCTATGGATGTACCAGCATCCACTTGTGAGCTGGTGGGCATTTGGGTTGCTTGTTTTCCTTCTAGTTTTTTTTACATTATTAAAAGAGTGGATGTGGATCAAGAAGACAGCATGAAATCTTGGAGCTGGCATAACTGTCTTGCTTCCAGTAAGACACAGCACAGCCCCTGTCCCTGCGACTCCCTCCTGTCTCCTCCATTTTCTTTCTTGTGACTTCGTAAAGTAGTAATGCCTTTTGAGAAGAGCCAGAGCCCAGGTCAAAGCTGTACCTGAGAAGAGAGGTGTAAATGGGGAGTTTGATCAGAAGTACCCAGGGAACTAGGTCACAGCGGGACGGGCTGGGAAGAGACTATCCTCTTCCCGCTGGGAGGCAGTGAGTTACGGTGGGGGCTGAGTTTCACAAACAATAACACCTTGCATTTGGAAACCACTGCCCAAGGTGTTTTTGCTGTCACTCTCCTACTCAATCCTCACTCGAGCTTCCTAAAGTCACCACCATCTACCCTCATGACGAAGCAAGGCTCTAACTGCTCACCTAGTATAAGGTTCTCCAGGTTCATCCCTGTGGTCAAAAATGGCAGGATTGCCTTCTGTGTTTCAGATAAACCATATTCTCTTCTTCTGATCTATCTGCCTACCCACCTACCATCCATCTCTCATGATTTCTTTATCCAATCCTCCACTGATGTATGCTTAGGTTGTTTCCATATCTCGGCTCTTGTGAATATGCTCAGTGAAATAAGCCAGATACAGAAGGAAAATACTGTGTGATCTCAGTTATGCATGGGATCTAAGAAAGTCAAGCTCATAGAAACAGAACATCGGCTACCCGGGGTGGGGGGAAGAGGATTGAGGAGATGCTGGTCAAAAGTAGAGTTTGAGTTAGTTCAGTTCAGTTCAGTTCAGTTCAGTCACTCAGTTGTGTCCGACTCTTTGCAACCCCATGAATCGCAGCACGCCAGGCCTCCCTGTCCATCACCAGCTCCCGGAGTTTACTCAAACTCATGTCCATCGAGTCGGTGATGCCATCCAGCCATCTCATCCTCTGTCATCTCCTTCTCCTCGTGGCCCCAATCCCTCCCAGCATCAGGGTCTTTTCCAATGAGTCAACTCTTTGCATGAGGTGGCGAAGTATTGGAGTTTCAGCTTCAGCATCAGTCCTTCCAATGAACACCCAGGACTGATCTCCTTTAGGATGGACTGGTTGGATCTCCTTGCAGTCCAAGGGACTCTCGAGAGTCTTCTCCAATACCACAGTTCAAAAGCATCAATTTTTCAGTGCTCAGCTTTCTTCACAGTCCAAGTCTCACATCCATACATGACCACTGGAAAAATCATAGCCTTGACTAGATGGACATTCGTTTGTAAAGTGATGTCTCTGCTTTTTAATATGCTATCTAGGTTGGTCATAACTTTCCTTCCAAGGGGCAAGTGTCTTTTAATTTCATAGCTGCAGTCACCATCTGCAGTGATTTTGGAGCCCCCCAAAATAAAGTCAGCCACTGCTTCCATTGTTTCCCCATCTATTTCCCATGAAGTGATGGGACCAGATGCCATGACCTTAATTTTCTGAATGTTGACTTTTAAGCCAACTGTTCCACTCTTCTCTTTCACTTTCATCAAGAGGCTCTTTAGTTCCTCTTCACTTTCTGCCATAAGGGTGGTGTCATCTGCATATCTGAGGTTATTGATATTTCTCCTGGCAATCTTGATTCCAGCTTCTTCCAGCCCAGCATTTCTCATGATGTACTCTGTGTATAAGTTAAACAAGCAGGGTGACAATATACAGTGACGTACTCCTTTTCCTATTTGGAACCAGTCTGTTGGTCTATGTCCAGTTCTAACTGTTGCTTCCTGACCTGCGTATGGGTTTCTCAAGAGGTGGGTCAGGTGGTCTGGTATTCCTATCCCTTTCAGAATTTTCCACAGTTTATTGTGACCCACACAGTCAAAGGCTTTGGCATAGTCAATAAAGCAGAAGTAGATGTTTTTCTGGAATTCTCTTGCTTTTTTGATGATCCAGCAGATGTTGGCAATTTGATCTCTGGTACCTCTGCCTTTTCTAAAACCAGCTTGAGTTTTGTAGGATGGGTAAATTCTAGAGGGTAATGTATAGCATAATAGTATAGCTCATAACAACATCTTTGAAATTTTCTAAGAGTGTAGATCTTAAGTGCTTTCACCTCACACACACACACAGACAGTGGTAATTATGTGAGATGATGCATGTAAATTAGCTCACCTGTAGTAATCATTTCACAATGTATATGTATATTGAAACATTATGTGTCATACCTCAAATACATAAAATTTTATTTAAAAAGGATGATGTCAGCATTTGGATTAAGATTCATTTAATTATGTTGTGGAAAAAACCACCCATGCATATTTCATTGAGTGTTTGCATTAAGAACGAGGGTGAATTTGTCAGAGGGCTTTTTAGCATTTCTGGAGGTGTTTAGATGATGTCTCTTGTTAGATATATTAGTGTGACTAAGCAATAGAACAGGAAGAAAGCAGTTCTCTGCAGAGAGGAGTCCTAGCCCACAGGCTGCCCTCGGTCTGTCCCCCAGAGCAGGTTGGCTGGGCACCGTCCACCAGCAGGGCTTTGTCACACAGCCGTGTTCACACGCACCTCCCAGGTGCATGGTCTGTCCTACAGTTTTCTAACGCTCTGAGAATCGGTCATTCAGGTAGACTGAAGCTGAGTGAGCCAGGAAGTTCCTGAATATGAGCAATACTGGTATTTATTCTCTCACTCTTTGTATGTTTAATGCAACCAAGGCTGTTACTTAGACTGTGTAAATAACAGAGTAAGATGAATGCTTGTTTTGACAAACTCATAGAAAGCAGAGAAAGATGACAGGGTCGACCACAGGGCAGATAATCCTGATCACACAGTCCCATCCCACGAGGGAATTTCTGCTCCCCTGGGCAGCCTGTCCCCTCAGCTGGGTCTGGAGGGGCTGGGTGGGCAGGGACCAGTGGGCAGGCAGAATTTCTGTCCTTTTGGGGTTCACCACCTTGCAGGGTTTTTGTTTTTTGTTTTTTTTCTATTTGCAGTATTTTTTTTTTCACATGAAGAATAACATGCATGCAGAGAAGTGAGCAAAATGTAAAACGCAGTTCAGCAAACTGCCCAGAAGCTGAGATCCACTGAATTACTGCCGAGACAGAGAAGGGGACCCCAGGGTCTCACACAGCTTGGTTGTGACCTTTTTCCTCCTGAAGGCTAAGTGCTGTTCCAGCCTCTAACGGTCTGTCTGGTTTTGTGGTTTTGGACCAAATGTGGTGACTCTTGGAGTTTGCCTTCCTTCTGTCCAGCGTCTTCATTCTTCATTGTGATGAGGAGGTCGCCCCATCCTGGTGGTTTGCTACAATCGTTCCCTCGAGGCTCCTGTGGCTCCCCACGTGGACACAGGTGCTTCACTTCTGGGTTTCACCTCTTAGTAACATGAGTGTCAGGCCCCAGCAGAGGATTAGAGGTGCCTCGAGGGATCTGTGCTCAGGGGCTATTTTACAGGGCTTGGCCTCTAGCCCTTGCAGAGCTGGCATCATTGTTATTCCATCCCTTTTTGGGTAAAGTTCCAGGGATTCACAACCTCTGAGAAGAAGGAAACTCTAATGATTCCTTCTGACTTGTGGAATGTTCCTAGTTATGTAATTGTCAGGCTTTTAATAAAACTGTAGCCTTTAAGGGATGCAGTGCATATTGAACAGAGCCGACTGAAATAGCTTCTGTGAGAGAATCCCAGAATGTTATTCCCTCATTTGGAAGGGCAGGAGGTGCTAATCAAACGAGTTTACACGAATACATTTACTTTATCCGCCGATTTACCGAGTGCCTGTGGACGCGCTAAAGAAAAAATCCATTCAAATGAATACCTGATGAAGGGCTCAGCTTGTCTGGTGGTGCGGAGCACTTCAGCCACGTGTTTCTGAGATTTCCTCTGAAATCCCAAGGACATCATTTAGCTTAGAAATGCATTATTAATGTTCCAATTAATATAAAATTCTCCGTTGTATTTTTGGTGACTTGAATGAGAACTGATAAATCTTACAAACTACAGTGCAAATTACAGGGAAAATACTTTGGAACCTTTTCCACTCTAGAGATGCAAGCTCCTTTATCACTTTGCATGTGGGCTGTTTGTTTTCCTTGCTTGTCTTTGTTACTCGGTGTAGACGCATGTTTTCTGAATTTGAGCTGAATTCTAAACCAGCCACCTTTTATGACGAAGCTCCAGGATTCCTGCTACAAACAGTGGTGTTGCCCCTGGAATCCTCCTGATTAGGACCTGGGGGATTAATGAAGGACCTTTTAAGACGGCTCACAAAGAGGCCCAAGATTTGCACAATTCCCCGAATTTTTCAAGTTGTGTCCCATTTAGCACTGATGGGTGCAGCGCGGATAACTTGTGTTCCGCTGGAGGCTGGAGATAGGTTTCGTGAGTGTAACACCCAGAACTGAGGGTTTCACTGCAGGGAGCGAGCTCCTGGGATGGTGCCCTGGAGCCTCCACCCTTCCACGTGGAATAACCAAGAAAGCAGAACACACCAAGGCTTCCTTGGAAATTCTTTGAGGAAACTGCTCACACGGAAGCACGTCAGTTTCTGAGTCAGTGCTTTGGGCGAGGGCAGGGGGGTTGCTTTTGATGAGGTGAATGTCTGAACAAAATCTTATTTTCTGCACTTTTCATTCATCTTTGATTTCAGAGGCTTTTTGCCATTCCTCCCATCACTTGCATCTTCCTATGGGGCTGCTGTGGCTCAGAGTGTTCTGGGCATAACTCCTGTGGCCAGGGCTACTGGCTGTCCCTACCCAGGAAGCCTGTCCGGCTCTTAGGCCCCCTCTCAAGTGCGGCCCCCTGTCCACACTTCCTGCGTTTTCCGACTGACCAGCAGCCTCTGAGTTCTCCGGGTGTTCTGTTCCTCCCGCGTCTGTGTTATCTTGGCCTCCCCACCCCCACTGCTGTTCGCTAAACCGCAAACTCCCTGCGGGGAGAAAGCGTTAGCCTCCCTTATCAGCTCCTGAAACATTCATATCACCATAGAGACAGTGCTCCAGGACATTTGTTAAATTGAACTGAAAATGCTACTTTATGACCTGCTTATTACTGAAATTATTTCTTTAGGTATTATTTTATTTGAAACCTAAGGGTTTTTTAACCTTAAAAGCAAAAAAACAAGAGCCTGTGCTAATAGAGTGTGAACTCGGGGAAGAGAAACTTCAGGGGCGCCCCCAGCAGCAGCTAGGTGAGGAGCGACTCTGACGAAAAGCAAGGCCACGGGAGCATCCTCAGGCCGGAGGCCCCAGAGGACCCCCAGCAGGAGCCAGGCAGCCCCGGACCCCCCGCCACAGTGACTGCGTGGGGCTTCACCCTTCATGCAGTTGTTCTCCTTTCACAGACAAGGGAACTGCCCCCCGCTCGGTGGGCATGCCAAGGTCTGGGGCTGGCTGCAGGTCGAAGACCCAGAACCCAGTCTCCTGAGTGATGGTTCTGAGCGCTTCTGTCACGAGTTAGAAGCGGGAGCTTCTGTGGTTATCAGCGAAAGTGTTAGTTGCTCAGTTGTGTTCAGCTCTTTGTGTTCCCCTGGACTGTAGCTCACCAGGCTCCTCTGTCCATGCGATTCTCCAGGCAAGAATACTGGAGTGGGTAGTCATTCCCTTCTCCAGGGGATCCTCCTGACCCAGGGATGGAACCCCGGTCTCCTGTATTGCAGGCAGATTCTTTACTGTCTGAGCCACGAAGGAAGCCTGACTCAATTATACATATGTATATTTTTTCACGTTTTTCCATGATGGTTTATCACCGAATATTGAATGCAATTCTCTGTGCTATATAGGGACCTCTCTTGCTTTTCCATTCTCCATATACCAGCTTGCATCTGCTAATCCCAGACACCCAATCCATCCCTCCCCATCCCCTGACTCCGGCAACCATGGTACTGTTCTCTCTGTGAGTCTGTTTCTGTTTTATAGATGAGCTCATCTGTGCTATATTTCAGACTCCACGTGTGAGTGATATCATGTGGTATCTGTCTCTGTCTGCCTTGTTTCACTTAGTATGACAACCTCTAGGTCTCTCAGTGTGGCCACGAATGTCCTTACTTCACTCCTTCTATGACTGAGTAGTATCCCGTTGTGTACACGCACCATGTCCTCTTCATCCATTCCTCTGTCGATGGACACGTAGGTTGTTTCCATGTCCTGGCTGTGGTGAAGACAGTCATATCTTATATGTAATATTCAGTGTGGTATTTCTGTGGAAGTGAGACATGCTCAGATAACAAACATTAGGGAACAGGGATCTTCTAACACTGAGAAAATTGGTTTCTAGCTATGACTCTCTGGTTCCCTACTCATTGGGTTTTGATTTAACTTTCACTATTGGGAATGCTTAGCACATCAAATGATATTAATTATTAGCTCCAGGCAGGAAAATAATATCCATAAAGAGAACATTTATCACTTTGCCAGACTCAGACCCCCTCTCCATGTGACTGTCCCTGTGATGTCAGTGACTCGTGATTGAAAACAGAAATTCCAGTATTTGGTCACTGATGATGCGTTGGTAAATACATCTGAATATTCACCATTATTTTGATGGATATATGTCCTGTCCTATATGCTAGAACTTTTTTGTTGTTGTTTAGTTGCTAAGTCATGTCGGACTCTTTGTGACCCCATGGACTATAGCACACCAGGCTTCCCTGTCCTTCACTATCTCCCAGAGTTTGCTAAAATTCATTATCTATTAACTTTCTAGGATGACTTACCAACTAAGCCTTAATACCCAGGCCTTTACTCTGTGTGTTATGTATAATGACTGCTTTAACCCAGTTGCTCTCAGCAAGTGTGAATTATTAGTTATCTTAGAAAAAACTTGTGTTTCTAATGCTGACTCCTTATGGCACGTGACATCTGTTCCTGCTTCTTTGCCGGTGGCTTCAGAACTTCGGTTTATCCTAGGGAGATCTGAATAAAAAAAAGGAACTTTTATGGCACTACGCACACAGATGGGAGAAACATAGCCAGGCTTCCCTCAAAAGGGTCACAAACCTCGGATGAAATTCTTTCTTTACAGGTATCTAGGGAAAGCATGATGGATACCAGAAAGTTTTAAGAACACCAAGCTAAATATGCGAGGAAAGAAGTAAATGTACAGAATTTCCAAAATGTTTCTAGCTGCTTCAAATATGTATATGTATATATATATTTAAGTTGAAATCTTTATCCACCATTCTTCTTTTATCTACAATTCTTGAGCTTATACTAAATCATGGAATCGAAATCTATATACGCTTCATCCCCCCAGCTCCACCTGGGCGACTGGCGACGTGCAAACTGGTATGCTCATCTCTCCTGCTCGCATGGCTTCTAGAAGATCCTCAGGACATAGACACACCAAGTCACTGGAGACACAAAAGGAAAAATGCTTGGTTCTCATGTGATGCAAATTCCTGTGAAGCCACGAAAAACAGTTGTGTGCACATAGCTACTGGATGTGGAGTGATATAAAATTGTATGACATTTCTGCCAAAAATAAGTAGTGTGATCTTTTATAGTTTTTAGATGATATATTTCAAGACAATACTGGGCAAAGATTTGTTGTTTTTGAAGCAACAAAGCTCACCGAGGGCGCATACTTACAGTTTACTGAGTGAGAAGATGGTGGCGGGGTTTGGAGAGGTGGATGTGACAATTTACTGGCTTTGGAGGTGGACTCGGGGAGAACGGGCCGAGGAGGCCACGGTCCCCTGCCGACCTCTGCCTCCCTTTGGCGGTCCAGGCAGCTGACGGCCCTGCCTGTTGGACACACATGTGGCTGAGCGTGCTTCTGAGCCCCTGTGGCAACCCACCAAGTGTCGGCCTCCCAACGGCAGCAAAGGATACTTTTGTTTTCCCTTTCCATTTGGCACACGAGAACGCCTTCTCCTCTTTCCTGCTTAAATATACACAAAGGCCTCAGTATACTTAGAGTGTTAACATCCTGCAAGGGAGACTGGGAATGTTAAAGGAGTTTAATATGACAACCGATGCTCTAGTTGATTCCTAAGAGAATAAATGATTAGCCCCATATTTCCAGGAAACCACAGCATTCTGCATCATGACATAATTCAAGATTACGTATCATTTTGCTTTATCTCAGAGACGCACACATAAAAGCCCGGCGTCTCTCCACTTGGCACTTGCTCCTGCTCTAGCATGTCCAGACTAGCGGTTTGGCTCATTAACGGGTGGCAGAAAAAGTCATTGCTAAAGAGGGGCCTGTGCTTTGGTTTGTAAGAATTTTTCGTGGTTTGGGTTAGGGAGACAGCAGCTGGCCGCCAGGTCAGAGGAGGACGCTCAGCATGTCCGTTCAGAGAACGCAGGCACAGCTCCGTGCTGCCCTGTCGCTAGTGTGAAGGGAATCCACTTGTTTGGACGCCGTTTCTTGAGAGGCTGACGTGGATGTGCGTGGTAGCCATCAAGCTGTGGCTCTGAGGAGGTGCACGCTGGCCATGAGGGGCCTCCTGGTGATGGCAGCCTCATGACACGCGGCTGCCGTGGGGTTTCCCAGAGCAGTGTCTGCTCTGGATGTCGCTCCGGTTAGTCGGCCCTCCCGAGAGTGTGGGTGAGAGATATTTGAGAGTGAGGCCGCTTCGTCCGAGTGGGTCTCTGCCAGCTCTGGCTCTGACTGCGGCCCTCAGGCCGGGGGGTGGAAGGTCCCTGTGAAGGCCCGTCCTCCTTGAAGGCCAGATGGCTCTGCCCCCTTGTGGGCCTGGCGTCTGGCGACAGCAAGGCAGTTAATTTACAGCTTGCATGAGGCCCGTCTGCTCTCCCCCGATGCCCAGGTCACAGCCTCAGTCAGTTCAAGGACCCCATTGTTTATTTGTTCCTGCGGGTCTTTGTTTTACAGACCATCTAAGGTTCTTTCCTCCTGTTTCTCTCTCTCTCACCTTGGTCCCATGCCCTGCACTGTGGTTTGCTGTTGCAATGGGAAATAAGATAGGAAACAAAACAAAGCAACTTGGCTCCATCTCCATGGCTCTGGATACATTTTGGGTGGTGGGAAGAAGTTGGATCCCCTGGTGGTGGCTCAGATGGTAAAGAATCCGCCTGCCAATGCAGGAGACATGGGTTTGATCCCTGGGTTGGTAAGGTCCCCTGGAGAAGGGAATGGCAACCCACTCCAGTATTCTTGCCTGGAGAATCCCATGGACAGAGGAGCCTGGTGGGCTACAGTCCTGGAGCCGCACAGAGTCAGATAAGACTGAACGACAGCACACACACACAGTCACCATTGGATTAGGGTTCTGCAAAAGCACCTGAGCACAAGAAGCTGGATATACTGAAGCGAGGTCCGCACAGTGAAAGGCTGGAAACGATTATTCCAATGTTTAAACAGACGGAAAGGGTGAAGCCGACTCTGCACTCAGTCTGGAGCGTATAGGCTGACGTGGGAACCATGAGCTATTGCAGGCATCATGGTTTCTCTGTGAGACCTTGAACCAGACATCTTTGCTCCGTGATTCTCTGTCTGTGACACGGGGACCACTGGGTCCTTGCGAAGACCGCGCTTTAGGTCTCAGAAAGGCTCGGGAAAGCAGCCACCCCTGCTGTGCCGTGTGTGAGGCAGTGCTCGGTGGCTGCACCCACCACTCTCTGTAGGACAGACTGTGGTGTGGTCTTTAAAGTAGTCTGTAGAGTTTTCAAGGACACGGAAAACTAACTTCGAGAAAGTTTTTTTTTAAAGTAGAATTAAAATGATAAGAACCTTATGATGTTATAATGTAAAAATAAATGGAAGGACAATTGAAATACAACAAAGTATTACATGGCTTGCCCCTGGATGTTGGGATTATTTATTGTTTAGTTGCTAAGTTGAGTCTGACTCTTTCGCAACCCCATGAACTGTAGCCCTCCAGGCTCCTATGTCCATGGGATTCTCCAGGCAGCAATACTGGAGTGCATAGCCATTTCCTTCTTCAGGGGATCTTCCCAAACCAGGGATCAAACCCGAGTCTCCCACATTGGCAGGTGGATTTCTTACCAGTGAACAACCTGGGAATCTTGTTGGGATTATGGGTGATCTTAAAAAGAATAGTGCTTTATCCTTTCTCAGTTTTGGGAAATAATTGTGTTCCTTTTCTTTACCATAGGCAGAGATCCTTCCCTCTAACTCAAAAATATCAGTAAAATGAGAAAGGAAGGTTCTACTAATATATATTTAATTTATGCCGGCTACACTGACACATACAGTGAGTTTAGAAGTTGGAAACAAGTGACGGAAAAAAACTATGCAGGCCTTGCTGAGAGGCTGTGCTCTGAAAAACGGTGATTTGGGAATTCACGTCTGTGAGCCTGAAGATGAGGAGAGGCAGTGCTGGCTGCTCTCCGCCGGGAGGAAGGAGGTTCCCCCACTGAAACCAACCCCCCACTTCACTGCTCAGGACGCAGGGGCGCCGGCCTGCCGCCCTGCAGTCCTGTGTCCACAGTGCTCAGACCGGTCCTGACTGGGTGCGGGCCGGGCTGTGCTCAGTGTGGACCGCTGGCCTTCAGAGCAGGGGTCGGAGGCTCAGAGGCTGGCAGCCGGCTCACTCGCTGCTCAGCACAGTGAGGGTTGTTCATTAACCAGACCTGTGACCACAGGAGAATTTAATTGGATTTTATTTGGTATCTCTCTAGCCAGAGGACTTTTCTCTATATCGATAAACATTACATTCATTTTCCATTGTTCTCGTGAGTTCTAAGATACTGTGGATCAAATCAAAGTCTCAATCATCCCACTGGAAAAAGCCCAAAATAAGCAAAACCCAGAAAAGTCCCCCGAATTCTAATCAGGAAGTGATGTCAGTCACTGGCGCTCGGCCTCTAAGTGGGTTGTTTCCGTCGCCTGTGTTCCCGCATGTGGTCAGAGGCTCGAGTCCCGTGGGACGGCCCAGCCGACGTCCTGCAACCCCGTGGACTGCAGAGACACCGCCTGTGACGGGCGCTTTGCTGCCTGCCCACCAGCGGGAAAGCCGGAGTCGCAGGGAGGGGACGAGAGTGCCTTGTGTCCTCCGCGAAGCGCTGGCCGAGTAGGTACACGCGTGCTGTCGCCATCTGACCCAGGACTGCCGATTCAGTCCCCGGGAGATGCCAGTCCCTGCCTTCATGTCCGGGCTCCCCCAGCCCCAAGTGGGCAGCCCCACATCTGGGCGATGAGGAGACAACCGCAGACCCTTCCAGGCGCAATCAGCTCTGCTTCCCCGGCTCCCAGCCCTTTGAAGCTGCAGACGGTTTCACGATAATAGATAAGCTAATCTCAGCCCGGCCTGTATGTTTTTCCCGTTTCCCCTGTTTCTTTCCAGGCTACTCTGCGGGGAGGGAATTCTTACAGCAGATGTATTGATGCTCACGGAGAGGTCAGAGCGGAGGAGCTGCCCAGTGAGCACAGGTTTGTGGAAGGTGAAATCTTGGCAAGACCTGAATAACAACCAGGGGGCTGGCGGAGCGTGGGGAGGAGAGTGTAGGAAGGATTTTATTCTCACTACCTAAGGCGATACACGGCAATTACTATCGAGGAGGCAATAAAGAAGTTGTTAATTACAGGTTTATACCCCTGTGGCCCAAAGCGGGAACAAGGTACCAAAGGTTATAAAGTGGTTCTTAAAAAAAAAAGTTGTAGGTGATTCTTTTCTCCTTTCCAGTGGAATAACTTAATTAGCAGTCAAGTTTGGGCCTGACGAAGAAAAGAACTCTGGAAGAGACATCTTATTAGAATAACTCAGTTTGTCCAGACCCTCACAATTTGCCTTTCTCAACCATCCATTCTGTTTTTATTTTCCCTGATCGTCTCTCGAAATCCTTCAGATGGGGAACCAAGACAGCATGAGGTATTAAATGGGCCTACCTGCCCCCAGCATGGGCTCTGATATTACATGCTCACGGAACGAGCTGCCACTCAGTAATCAGGTTTGCTGTGAGATCCCAGGGCTCCGCGGGGGCTATGGAGATGCTCCTATGTGTCTGATCAAGGTTCATGTGCCCGAGTCTTCAGACGTAGCCCCACTCTTTGGAGACTGGGGCAGGCCCAACCCCGGGCACCCAGCTGGCAATTCCACGGGGTGGGAAAGGTTGGGCTTGGAAATGGTCTGTCTTGAAAAGTTAAATCCTCTTTGAAGCAATCTGCATTTTCTGTACTTAGGTTTGACTCAAAAGGAGCCTGGTGATGCCAGGCCCTGGCTCGGTCTCCACGCTCCCTCCTTTGAGGCACTTACGAGCCAATGTGATTCATGTGTGTGTGTGTGTGTGTGTGTGTGTGTATGTGTTTTGGCCTCTGCATGGGCTGTTGTGTCTTTTTCATCTTTTCAAGCCCAGCACAGTGATGGTACCCAGTAAGTACTCACTAAGTGCTTGACTGACCAGCGCAAATGCAGCTTTTTGCCTGTCGCCCTCTGTGTGCCATTCCTGCAGCAGAAAAGCACTCTTCTCTCCAGGGAACCTTCTGTGTGTTGATCATATTTGTTCCAAACTTGGAGTATCATCAACATAAGTGGTCGTGAATATTCACTTGAGGTGAATAAAGAACACTTCAGAGTTGGTATGAAGATCCTTGGGGCCATTTTTGGGGGAGGTGGGCGCTGGGGCTTATGGGGGACAAAGGGTGCTTCAAGGGGACCCTGGGGACAGGAGGCCTAGGAGGGCTCTCGGGGCAGTGGCATGGGGACCCCGTGGGGGGCGAGGGGGCTGCCGGGAGTGAGGATCCACCGAGTGCTCCACTGACTGGGATCCCCGAGGCCTCGAAGCTGCTGCCTACCCCTTGACGCCCGGGCCTGGCACCGGCTGCCTGTCAAGCTGTTGGCAGGGCCAGTGTGGCCCCTGAGGACACCCAGGCCTTGCTCCCCAAGGGACTGCAAGGGGAGGGGCTGGAGTCCAGACTCACATTCGCCATGCGTGGCAGAGCGGGTATCACAGTGGACTTGGCCGGGCACAGTGCCGGAGGGCTGCCCCGAGGCACGGCCTTTCTTTCCACCCCAAGTCCCAGCCCTGCACACGCTCTCCGCCCTCACATCAAAGGTGCCCTTCTTTCTCCGTTTATAACACGTTATTGTGTGATCATTGCATAGAAACAAAAAAATTCTGAGAGACAGAAGAAAATAAGAGAAACTGTTCATCTCCCAACAAACCATTTTCCTGTGTTTTCTTTCTGTTATTTTTCTATTTCACGCATAGCAGAGACCATTTGTTAGTTTGGTTTCATGCCTTTTCACTTCATGTTGTAACAGGCATTCTTCCTTGAAGACTGGACTTCACAGGGATTTGAATGTCATCATATGATTTACCATAACTTACTGGTTTCTCAAAGGGAGTGTCTGGAGTTTGGACTGCTGGTGGAAGCACCTCCAGATGGTGGATGTGTGGAAGCTGAGGTGAGTACACAGCTGGGCCAGACGCCGAGGCTGACCAGCCGGAGGAGGGCATCTGAGCTGGTCTTCAAAATGGGAGGCCCTGCATGTTCCTGTGGGACAAACACATGTGTGCACATGTGCACACACAGGCACACGAACACACATGCACACGAGTATACACACATGCACATGTGTACACACATGAACATATAAACATTAAAGAACCACAGCACACATGTGCAAACACAGAGACCCACATGCATTCACACTTGCTTGTGAACACACAGATGTGCACACCCACATGTGTGCACAACCTTACCAGTGGGTTCCAGAGCCTTTTGTGACATTGCTGATTCTCATCACCTTTAATCACAGCAGAGATACTCCAGACAGCATCGTACTGCCTCTGCAATCGTGTGACGTGAGGATCCTGCGGGGCTGGCCGGGGAGCCCGGCTGGCAGTTGAGGCAGCAGACGCGTGATGCTCAGTTTCCCAGGGTCTGGGCCGGGGCTGGAACCGTGTTTCCTTCCTCACGGACTTACTGGTCCTTAAGGGTCACCTAAGGAGGGGGAGACATAGGGATTTCCTCTTTTTTTTCTGATGAAATAATGGAGCTATTGATAAGGAGAGAGAGAAGAGATTTTAGGGCCATGCAAAAATCCCCCGGCAAAATAGAGAGGGGACTATGTCTCCTCACTTTAATCCAGGTTTTTCTGCCCTGTCCTCTGTTCTTTACAATCTTACTAGAAACAGTGACTAGAAACAGTCTTACTAGAAACAGTCCATTTTTCAAATTCTCCACAGACTGGACATGCAGCCTATCTTCTGCGGGCTTGGGATGCCACCCAGGTTGCCCAACCTCTGGGCACCTGGGCCTGGTCGGTGTCCTCTGTCAGGGAGAGGGTGGGTAGGTGAGCCGAGTTAGGCCCGGGCTCCAGGCAGGCACGTGATCCATCAGAGCTGCAGGTGGCAGATGCCCTGATGTGGTGGACAGAAGGCCCGTCATGGTCTCGTGGCTGCAGGCGGGCATGCGCTGTGCTCACAGCAGATCTGGGAGAGGCAGTGCCTCTTGGTGAGGTTTTGGGGAAGCTGCCATCAGCACGAGGTGCATCAGCCACCAGAGAGGCTGCGCCGTGTGCCTGGGAAGGGGCACATACAGGGACTGTGGGGAATACGTGCTTTCAGTTCTCAGAAGAGGAGTTCATGGTACCCGTCCAGGAAGTACAGTCTCTGGACCCAGGGAAGACACATCTCAAAAGTGTACATTTAAGGACGGTTTAATTATTACTATAGTTAATAGTTGTATATTTGTATTGCATATTTGAATGTTGCTGAGAGAGTAAGTGTTAAAACTTGTCACTAGAAAAAGTCTGTGACACGTTTGGTGATGAATATTACTTAGACAACGTCTTGAGCTTGCAACATACACAAATATGGAATCAACGCGTTGCACACCTGTGGTACTGTGTGTCAGTTACACCTCAGCTCAGAGAAGAAGTCCTTGACACCTCATCTTCCCATGTTGCTTTGCCATCTCCCCTCTCATTTATCTGGGACCACATTCCCTGATGGCTTCCCTGGTGGCTCAGCTGGTAAAGAATCCGCTTGCAATGCAGGAGACCTGGGTTCAATCCCTGGGTTGGGAAGATCCCCTGGAGGAGGGTATGGCAACCCACTCTAGTATTCTTGCCTGGAGAATCCCCATGGACAGAAGAGTGTGGCGGGCTATGGTCATGGGGTCACAAGGAGTTGGACAGGACAGAGCGACCACGCACATTCCCTGAACACGACCTGCTGCACGCGTCCCCGCCTGCAGTGAGAATGCACAGTGTGGCTAGGCTCTCAGCAGATGCTCTCCAAAGAATGACACTCTGTGGCAAGTCATTTTGCAAATGACAAACATGAAGTTTCTCTTATTGTCCAGTATTTGGGTGAAGTGCATCCATCACGGCAGCTCCCGTCCATGGGACTGTCGACTCTCATTCCAGTCGGCCAACAATCCCTGGACAAAGCCATGTGACAAAGCAGAGTTTCACTTAGAAGAACGTGGCACCTTTGAAATGGAGAGAAGTCTCCTTCCTGTTGCTGTACAGGCGTGTTCTGAGTTTTTCCTCAGGAGGGTAGCTTAATAACTTAGTTTCCAAGGACCACACCAGGATTATAGATTTAAAAAAATTAACTCTGCCACACGCCAAAGCCAGTGTCTCAGCTTACATTGGCAATAAGACTGAAACTTAGAGATGGGTGCCCATGTTGGGGCGGCTTCTGTTTCTCGGATCTCTTCAAAGAAATTCTCCCACCCTGGGGTGGTTGTCAGGGACAGTGCACTTTGGCTGCTACAAGTCTGCTAAATTTGAGTAAGCCGTTCTGAATCCTTTTAAGATTGAACTCACCACCCCAGAACTCCACCTGCACCCCTTCTGACACTTTAGTTTCTGTCTGTTGGAATCAGCTGGCAGGTCCTAGTTGAGAATAGTATTCCCTCTTTATATTTTGAACCTCACAGCCGTGGTGTGTGAACTTCACAAACCAGTGAGTGAACCTCACAGACCAGTGTGTGAACCTCACAGACCAGTGCGTGAACCTCATTGACCATAATCAGGAATATTCATATGAAGTTGGATGTGAACAGCTGTTCTCACCGTCGGTGAGGCTGAGCGACTTGCAGGGGCAGAAGGTGACTCGACGGCTGACAAACACCATCTACACCAATGAATAAGCGGAACTACCAACAGCAGAGTAACTCGCCTCTCTGTCAGTAATTAAGACATGCCAGCTTGCCCTTTTGCAATGTAAACAGAAAATTATGGCTGCACACAAGCCCCCGCCATTAAAAAGGCAGCTTTCCTCCCGCTGGTCTTGGGAACAGCCGCGGTGCGGATGCGATGCGGCTCCAGCTGCTGCGGCGGGAGCGGGGCGCACCTGCCCGCCTCTTCCAGAGGCACTTAATCCGCCGGGGTCGGGGTTCAGGGGTGGGGGTGGGGGGCTGCGCTAAGCCTCTTTGGCTCCTGCACAGCGCTCGCACTGAAGCCGGTGACACCGCGTCCCCGAGGGAGACGAGGGCCCGTCGGCAGGGACAGAGGCGCCCTGCGCAGGAGGAGGCCGGGCCTCCGTTGTCCTGCGCAAAGTGCGCGCGGGGGCACCAGGCCCGCGGTCCAGGAGTGCAGCAGGTGTGCTGCTCTGCGGGGCGGACGGCTGCCCACTGGGCGAGTGCATCAGAGTGGGGAAGGGGCCCTGCAGGCGGGAGGGCCGGCCTCTCTTCAGCCCCCTCCCTTCCTCTGCGCCCCTTCTCAGCCCCCGTGCCGTCACCCCAGGTCCCTGTCTCCCCGGGACCCGCTCCAGCGTCTCCACTCCCTGACCCCGCTGGTCCAAGCCGGACCTCACTCCACCAGCACTGGGGCTTTGCTTGTTGGGTTGTGGAAGGGTAACTTGGGTTTACCGTAAGAATTTAACATTCTTACCTTGAAGAAATCCGTTTACAGATGGACATTTTTGTATTCATGCAAGTAAGACCATTACAGAGACTCTGATTTCATATCAGAGTATTCTGGGTCAGTGGTCGGCCAATCCAGTCGGCTGCTGGGGTCTGTATACCCTACAAGCTGAGAAGGAGTTATTAAGAATTCTTTTAATGGATTAAAAAAATCAAAAGAAGAAAGAATCAAATTTCTTGTGAAAATTAGGTGACACGTTAGTGTCCACAAATAAAGTTTTATTGGCACACAGTCACATGTTCACTGATGTATCGTTCACAGCTGTGATGGTACAGGCGCTGAGTGGAGTTGAGTAGCTGTGACCAGGATGTTCCACCCACGAAGCTGGGAGAATTTACAGTCTGGAGTTTGCAGAGAACTCTCTGAGCAGACCTACCTTGTATTGTTTATCTATAATCCATCATAAGTTATAATGACAGGGGTTCCATTCTGTGACATCCTAAACATGCCCACAGGCTGTAAAGTGATGAGCTCGACTATGCACATGGCAAAAACATTTAAATCACATATTGGAACATTTTCAGTACAGTTGAAGGAAATTTTCTTTGACAGAGAACTTCCAAATATGTTTTGCATCTGTTTTTGCATGCATTCAAATATAAGACTTGGGAAGTATTTGTGAATACTTGAAGTTTTCAACCCCTGATCCTTCATGCTCAGTGAGGCAGTGTCGTGTTTCCTTTTACTTTATGTGAGTGAAAAATATGTAAAATTGGTCAGTTATGAAATCATCCCCGATTCTCATGAAAAGAATACCTCAGACTTGTGCAGCTTGGTTCTTACCAGTTTTGATGTGCATTATAAAAATAATATAAAGCAAAATACAGACATCCTTGCCTGTATAGTTTAGTGTGCTCAGCCACTCATCTTGTCTGACTATTGTGACCACAGGGCTGTAGCCCACCAGATGCCTCTGTCCATGGACATTTCTGAGCAAGAACACTGGAGTGGGTTTTCATTTCCTTCTCCGGGGTTCTTCCCGACCCAGGGATTGGACCTGAGTCTCCTGCATCTCCTGCACTGGCAGGTGGATGCCTCACTGCATCACTGAGGAAGCCTTGTGTATACACACCGTGTATAATTTCTGGTCCTCTAGACAACAGGCTGTGACGATCCAGTTAGGGAATGTGTCCATTTCTCAGCTGAAGAAACTGAGGCTCACAGAAATTCTGGGCCTTGTCCAAGGCTTAATGGGCAGTTGAGGGTCAGGGCCAGGGTTCCTGATTCTAAAGCACCTGCTTCCATCAATGATCATGTGCTGTGTCTCTGAGATGACTTTACTTACAGCTTTTTTAAGGCAAATGTGGGACATTGTACCGGGAATCTTTTGGGTCTTTGTGATGAGAAGAAGATTTCCTGTAGGATGCTAACACTCTGTGAAATTTCTGACATTATTATGAGATTTCCGACACCAGCCGATATCAGAGCTCATGCTAACTGACCAGAGATGTCTGTCTTCAAGGACAGAAATTTGATGTGCCTGGGGATGGAAAGATACTGTTTAGCAAAATCCTGGGCCAGCTGTTTGGTGCCTTGAGAGGGCTCCCAGGGGACGGGGCTGAGACCCAGGAGAGGCATTGTCTCAAGTGATGGTTGTTTGGAGCCCAGGTGTTGGCCACTGTAGCAAAAAGGACTTCCAAGGCGAATGATCATTAGAGATGGGCCAAACAGGTTTGTAAGACATGGGATCTGGGTCTCACGGGCGTATTTGTCCTTATCTGTGTGTCATCAACCAAGCTGTCAGGCAGCTCAGCTAATTTCTGAAAATATCGAAAGACTCTGGTGAGAAGGAGGATTCCTGCTCATCTCAGAGTCTCGCCCGCCGCCTGTATGTTTCTCTCTGTTGTCTTCAGCTCTGGCTCCACTGGGCTCAGTCCTTTAGAGGGGAAAGGATGATATATAAATAGATGTACCCTCTAAGATTTGGAGTAGTCAAGCTGTTTAGCATTTATGTTTCTGTTGTTGACACTCAACTGGAGTTTCTCAGTTCCCGTTTGGGGAAAGGAAACATCTTCTGAAGAGCTCACTGTTTTCTTCCAGTTTTATTGCGATGTGGTTGACACAGAGCACTCCACGGGGGTGAGGTGCACGGCAGCAGGACTTGACTCGCGTACATCGGGAGAAGACAGCAGTAAGCAGTGAACATCCGTCACCTCGTGTAGGCACGACATTAAGGAAATAGGAAAACAGTTCCGTTGTGATGTGAACTCTTAGGATTTACTCTCATAACAGCTTTCATCTGTAACATTCAGAAGTATTATTATATTTATCACGTTGTATTGGCCAAAAGCTTCATTCGGGTTCTTTAAATATCTTACTCGCCTGCAAGACTCAGTAAAAACTCTCTCCCAAAATGGGGAGGAGCTGCTTTTGCAAAGCTGTGAGTGAAAAGACGGATTTTACAAAATCACTGAGTCTCAGATGGAGCTACTTTTTTTTTTTTTAACAAATTGCCACATTTCTCTTCTTTTGCTTGTTGAAAAGTAATTTTTCTTCCTGAAAAGTTGAATTGTATAACATCAACTCCTTTTACACTGCTTTTTTCAGAAGAAAAGAATTAGCAAGAGCAGGTACCTTGTTAGGAGCAGATTACACACAGAAGGAATGTACAGACTCGGGGATGAAAGCCCGTGCGTCACCGAGAGGCTTCAAGTTGGGTCCGGGGCAAGTGCCTCTCAGGTCGTTCAAACTGGGGCCCGTTCTTGGGACCCTCGGAGGATTAGGAAATAAAACAACATCCATTGTCCTGGGTCATTGTGGACACACTTGGGCTAACTCGGGTTAATTGACACTTGTGCTCCTGTGTGCCTGCAGACTCTGTACAGATGAACTGGAGGGTCTTGCTCTAGCTTTCTTATGTGCAGACAAGGACTCAGGCTGCAGGGGCTGAGTGTCCAGAGAGTGAGAAACAGTGAGACAGGGAGAGAGACAGAGAGAGACAGAGAGAGAAACAGAAAGAGAGACAGAGAGAGACAGAAAGAGAGAAAGGGAGATAGACAGAGAGAGAGACAGAGAGAGAGAAAGGGACATAGAGAGACAGAGAGACAGAAAGAAAGGGATAGACAGAGAGAGAGAAAGGAAGAAAGAGAGACAGAGAGAGAGACAGACAGAAAGGGACGTAGAGAGACAGAGAGAGAGAGACAGAGACAGAGAGACAGAGAGAAAGGGACACAGAGAGACAGAGAGAGAGAAAGGAGGAAAGAGAAAGGGAGATAGAGAGACAGAGAGAGAGGAAGGAGGAAAGAGAAAGGGAGATAGAGAGACAGAGAGAGAGAAAGAAAGGGAGAGAGAGACAGAGAGACAGAAAGAAAGGGAGAGAGAGACAGAGAGAGAGAAAGGGAGATAGAGAGAGACAGAAAGACAGAGAGAGAGAAAGGAGGAAAGAGAAAGGGAGATAGAGAGACAGAGAGAGAGAAAGGAGGAAAGAGAAAGGGAGATAGAGAGACAGAGAGAGAGGAAGGGACATAGAGAGACAGAGAGAGGTGCAGAGAGCTCGCCAAGGAAAAGGCGTCGTCAGTGGTCCTGGAGTTCAACAGCTGTAACAGCAGAAGTTCCCAGAACGTTAGCACAGAGTCTCCCAGAGAGAGAAAGTTGAGAGAAGTGAGCGCACATCCACATGAAGCTCGTCAGAGAGAGCTCACAGCGGCATCCCTCTCCAGAGCCCAGGGTGAGGCTGCGGCCATGGTGTCCGTCAGCTGGGGAAGGGTTAGTGTCAGGCTCTGTCCGCATGGGCGGGTGTTTTTTGTCCACAGAAAAGATGAACCTCGAAAATGTTGTGCTCCAGAAAGAGGCCAGCCAGAAAAGATTATCTATTGCATGATAGCATTTACATAAAACATCCAGAAGAGCAAACATGGAGACAGAAATTAGGTTAGTGGTTGCCCAGGGGTGGGGTGGAGATCGGGGTGACTGCCACTGGGTATGAGCTTTTTTCTGGGGTGCTGAGAATATTCTAAAATTAGCATGTGATGGCAGTTGTATCATTCTGAGAATATATTGAAAGCATGGAATGTGTCAGTTCAGTTCAGTTCAGTTGCTCAGTTGTGTCCAGCTCTTTCTGACCCCATGGACTGCAGCTCGCCAGGCCTCCCTGTCCATCACCAACTCCCAGAGCTTACTCACACTCATGTCCATTGCGTTGGTGATGCCATCCAACCATCTCATTCTCTGTTGTACCCTTCTCCTCCCGTCTTCAATCTTTCCCAGCATCAGGGTCTTTTCCAATGAGTCAGTTCTTCGCATCAGGTGGCCAAAATATTGGAGTTTCAGCTTCAGCATCAGTCTTTCCTATGAATATTCAGGACTGATTTCCTTTAGGATGGATTGGTTGGATCTCCTTGCAGTCCAACGGACTCTCAAGATTCCTCTCCAACACCACAGTTCAAAAGCATTAATTCTTCTGTTTTCAGCTTTCTTTATAGTCCAACTCTCACATCCATACATGACTACTGGAAAAACCATAGCTTTGACTAGATGGACATTTGTTGGCAAAGTAATGTCTCTGTTTTTTAATATGCTGTCTAGGTTGATCATAACTTTCCTTCCAAGGAGTAAGTGTCTTTTAATTTCATGGCTGCAGTCACCATCTGCAGTGATTTTAGAGCCCCCAAAAATAAAGTCTGAGACTGTTTCCACTGTTTCCCCATCTATTTCCCATGAAGTGATGGGACCAGATGCCATGATCTTAGTTTTCTGAATGTTGAGCTTTAAGCCAGCTTTTCACTCTCCTCTTTCACTGTCATCAGGAGGCTCTTTAGTTCTCCTTTGCTTTCTGCCATAGGGTTGTGTCGTCTGCGTATCTGAGCAAAGTGTACATGAAGCTAAACTTTATGGGATGTGCTGTCACCCCTGGTGTCTGTGGGGCATCGATTCCAGGATTGCGTCGGGCAGCTGGATCTGAGGATGCTCAAGTCACACACATACATGCTTCTGTATACATTAGCTCATTTCTAGATTACTTACGAGGGTTTCCCCTGTGGCTCAGTGGTAAAGAATCTGCCTGCAATGCAGGAGATGCAGGTTCAACACCTGCGTCAGGAAGATCCTCTGGAGAATCAAATGGTAACCCACTCCAGCATTCTTGCCTGGAGAATTCCATGGATGGAGGAGCCTGGCGGTCTACAGTCCCTGGGGTTGTAAAGAGTCGGATATGATTGAGGTGACTAAACACTCACAGGTTACTCACAACACCTAACACAATGTGGATGCTGTGTAAATAATTGCTGACACATGGAAAATTCCAGTTGGTTTCTGGAACTTTCTGGAATCCTTTTTCTGAATAGTTTCCATGTACTGTTGGTTGAACCCGTGGATACAGAGGGCCCGCTGTAAACTGTATCATTATAAACTTGCTATTAAATATAAATTTGTTAAAAACAAGAAAAGAAATCAAAATAAATCAAGAGCACCTTTCTTTGAGTAAAAAAATTCTCTGCTTCCTTTGTGTTCTTTTCAGGCAGTAAACACACCGCTACGGTGAGTTTCCCAAAAGTGGGGCTCTGGGTAGGACCTGGTGGCGGGGGTGCTGCAGGAAGGTCTCTGCTATGGGCAGGACCCTCAAATGGGCTTTGCGAGGTCACATGAGCCCTGGGCAGCCGGATACCCATCGAGGCAGGTCCGAGAGGCGCCATCCCCTAATTAGCAAGATGCAGCTCTAGACTCATAACTCTGATGCTCTGGCCGGAGAATCTGAACTGTTTTTTGAGGGAGTTAGTTAGGGTGGATTTGGCTGAGGGGTGCGGGGAGGGGTGGGGGCAAGGGGACGCCAGCCACAAAGTTGGGGAGAAATCCTTGATGTCAGATAGTACAGCCGAGGCTCCAAGTCCTTTTCCTTTTGAGAGTACCCTGGGTTTACAAATGCTCAGTCTCGAGATGGTTTTGCAGGATGACGTGTACGCAGACCTCAGTGACTTGGTCTTGGTGCTCAGAAAAACCCCCAGAAGAGTCTAATTCCACAACATCGTTGCCAGCACCACCTGCCAGCTGGCGTTAGCTAATCGCTGTGAGGCTGGTTTTCTATGAGCCAAAGGGGTCCCCAAGTCTGGGTGCAAAGCAACCTGACTGGTCGTGTGGTCTGCACAGGAGACCGCTGGGGCCCCAGGGGACCCTCTGCATGCCAGGCCTAGGGCTGCTTCAGGGTGGGCTCGGGGGGTCCGGATGCGGGGGGGTTGGTGGCACAGACGCTTCTCGGAGCTCCGCTGGGTCCGAGGCTGTGCTCTGTGCCCCATGGCCGAGGCGCTGCCCTGGGCGGCTCAGGGCCTGGGACGTGGCCACAGGTCACAGGGCCCCTCCTGTGACTTCGGTCCCCGAAGGGCGGGGCTCAGGCACTGGCGCCAGGCCCGCCCCGCCCCGCCCCATCTGTGCAGGAAGACCGGACTCTTGCAGCGTTTTCACCTCAGGATGGCGTTACACGTCAAATTGCAGACCAGGCTGTGGTGGTTGAACAGTAATTTAAAAAAAAAATAGAAAATCCACCATTGCAAGAACGATGAGAAAAAAAGACACATGTAAGCCAAAGGGAAGTCGCATGCACTGGAAGAACTGTAGGAAGTCATGGTGGATTCATCTGGTTTCACAGTCGGGGACCCACCCACGAGTGGATTGGCCCTGAGGCATCCGGGTGCCTGCTTTCCCCGGAAGCCGCCCTGGGGTCTGGTGAGTGGGGCTCAGGGCCCTCGGCCCCCACAGCCCGGCATGTGTTGAACCCTCCTCGGGACAAACAGTCCAGCTGACCTGGGCTCTCCTGCCTAGAGGGAGGTGCTCAGTCTAGAGAGCAATTGGCGCCCATCTCCCCCAAAAGCGCGACAGTCACAGGCACGGCTGCCTTCCAGGAAACCGCTCGCGGTCTCTTTAGTCCGGAATAGGCTTCTCGGTCTGACCAGGATGGGCCCGAGCCGTGGTCACTGGACAAGAGCCCTGCACGCCAGGGCCGTCCGTCCACCTGCCCGACTTCCTCTCCATCCGGCATGTGGGGAGGGCCGACGGGGACACCGGCTGGATGGGTGCTGGGCTGGCCGGAGCTGGAACCAAGGCTGAGAAGACCCGGCAGCTTTCTGTGCCTGGCGACCCCTGGCACTGGTTCCTCTTTTGCCTGCACCCAACTTTGATGATGACAAGGATTGGGTGTGGCAGGGGCTTTGGGCCAGGCCCCGGGAGGCGTGGGAATGTTTCGCTCTGACATTCTCCCCTGGTCTTGCCCCAAACCGCCTCCCTGGCTGTTTCTCCATCTCTCACCCCTCTTCCCTGTGGACCAGCGCCCCTCCCCACCTGCAGACAAAGCGCCCGGACCTCCAGCTCCGCTAGGAGTGGACTCCGCTGTCTCTGACGGTAGAGAGAAGAATCATATTCAGTCCTAATAAGAGTTTTTCTGAGTGAGTCAGAAATCCATAGGAGTTTACTCAAGCCAGAGGACGAGCTGGAGAGGAGGCCTGATCTTTGAAGGGAGATGTGCCCTTTGAGAAGCAAACCCAACAGTCATGGTTTCTCTCCGGTTGAATGTGCAACGTGGCCGGAGGGCGGTCCCCGACTGCAGGAGAGGGCCAGGGGGGCTGGGCAGAGGCGCAGACCGAGGACGCTCCTTGTCCCTGTCCAGCTTCTCACGTGCCTGCGTGTGCACCTTCCAAGCTTGGGTAACGTCAGGACCGTGGCTCTGCTCCAGCCGCCCCCATCATGAGCACAGAGAAGTGGCGTCTGTCGAAAGCTGAGTGACTGGCCCTCAGAGACCAGACTGTGAGCAAGCGAGCACCATCGCGTGGGGGCCTCAGAAAGGATGGATGGCCCTTCTCGGAGCAGCAGGCATTGGATGTGGCAGGAATCACCTACTTTGACGCTCACGGCTGGGGTCTGAGTCCCGCCACATGCCAGGCTCTTTTCTGCGTGAGGCTGTGGCACCTTTCAGCGTGTTTGCACGTGGCTGGTCTGTGGTGCATCACCTTGGCGGGTAGAGGGGATATGAAACATCACAGATCAGTCTTGCAGGTCATGAGCAGAGGAGCCCAGAGGAAAAGGACAGAGCTGTGAGGAAGAGCTGGTGATGCAGAGGCAGTGCGTCCTCGGTGGCTGTCTGTGCAGCACTTGTAGGTTGCAGGCGGATGGTCCAGGGACATGTTGACATGGGTTGAGGTGGAGAACCAGCACCTCGTCGTGGGGGCTCCAGCCACAGAAGCCGCCTCTGAAGTCTCTGAGAGATGTACACAACTGACCGTGGGTCCGCTCTTTGCCCACTCACTTCCCACAGCCTATCCATCACCGACCCCGGCGTCCGTGTGAGCCGCTGGGTTTGAGATGCTCTTGAGGTTGTAAATAAATGCCACAGCGCCAAGGGGCAGACGAGACGGAGCCTGTCAGAGCTGGACATCGGCAACAAGTTGTAATTACAGTGGAGTGGTGCGAGGTGAGTTCCCTCCTCCCGTAGATTTAATTGCCGCCAGCTGCAGAGGTGGGCACAGCAGCTAGGTGGGGGGGGCTCCAAGTGCCCCCACTGACCTCCCCATGGCCCCTTGAGCAGGACAGAGGGGCCCTGACGCCTGGCGGTGCTCCTGCAGGCGGGGGGCTGCCAGGTCACAGACCCTTGTCCACCCAACATTTGAGATGACGTGGAACCACGTTTTGTCTTTAGAGGAAGTGGGCGACAGTAAACCATCAGGAAGAAGACTGACTTTCCCCAAAGGTGCAGAGTCTGAGCCCTGACTCTGAGCTCATGCCCAGGTGCTCTGCCTTCTGGGTGAGTGGGGACAGGCTGTGACCCTCCCCCAGCCAGCCCCTTTTTTGGCGACAGGAATTCAGCAGAGCAGGGGTCACTCCAGGGCTCACTTGTGGTTGAGTGGACACAGCTCAGCTAATCGCTCTTTCACTTGTGGGAAATTCGTTGTTCCTTAATATCAGGCTCCGGTGATGATGGAAATAGGCCACACTAATGACAAGGCAGCAGGGATTATAGGTAAGAAACGGTTATAATCAGAAAGCTAATAATTATCTTGCAGCCGCAATTGGACTTTTGAATTTTACATTTCTTGCATTTTTTTATTCTTAATTACAACGGTTTCATTAATGAGAAGCAGCCTTCGGGAAATAGAACGGGACCCATTTTGACTCAAGCAGACCTGTGTTCTCTGCACTGTCGGATCAGCCAGCTCCTCACTGATTTCCGCTGAGTGACTGGATGGAAGTGTCGTTTCCCGCTTGAGGACGGTGGTCCCTCTGTGGTCGAAGAGGCAACAGAGCCCAGCGCACGCCTGAGACCCAGGGGCCCGGGCCACCGGGGCTGTGCGGGTTCAGACTGGCCCTCAGAGCTCTGCTGTTCTTGCCACTGGCTTCTCTGTGTGTCCTGGACTTACGATGGGTTTGTTGACCCTTTCAGTCAGCCTTGCAGGCAGCCAGGAGGTCCCTGCTGGGAGAAGCTCCTGAGCAGGTGGTTCAGACTGGAGCTGTCTCTGAGAGGTTGCCTACTGTGAGGACTAGGAGAATCCATCAGCCCACACGCACGGAAAAAGTCGGGCCTGACTGCTGACAAACACAGGAGCCCCAGACGGCCCCAGACCAACCAGTCCTGTACCCTGAGAGCCTGAGAGCACAGCCCTCACCCTGAGATCCTGAGAGCACAGCTCTCATCCCAAGATCCTGACAGCATAGCCCTGCACCCCAAGATCCTGAGAGTACAGCCCTGCACCCTGAGAGCCTGAGAGCACAGCCCTCACCCTGAGATCCTGAGAGCACAGCACTACACCTCGAGATCCTGAGAGCACAGCCTTCACCCTGAGATCCTGAGAGCACAGCCTTCACCCTGAGATCCTGACAGCATAGCCCTGTACCCCAAGATCTTGAGAGCATAGCCTTCACCCTGAGATCCTGAGAGCACAGCCCTTATCCCTAAGGCCCAGGGGGGTCACTGGTGTAGCTTGGAGAGGCTGTAGGGCAGAGGACTTGCCCCTATGCTTCTTGGGTGCAGACCCCCAGCACTGACCACATGTGGGCCGGGCCCTCTGGCTGCCTCTTGCCCAGGCAGCATGGCCATCTCTAACAACAGGGCTGCTCTGACTTTGTGCCGAGGTTGTCCTACCAATTCAGGACCAGCTGCCTGCCCCCTCCGCCAGCCTCTCTGCCCCATGCCCTGGCCCCCCATCCTGTGGAGGGCCATGGGCTATTAGGTCTGGGGGTCAGGCCCGCGTTGGCTCCTCTGGGGAGGCCAGCTCTCCTGGCCCCCTTAAGCCCCAGGGGTGACTTAGTGCCCTGGTGGAGCCTTCCTTGCCCCGCTGACCCAGCGTACCCTGCCCCCCTGCCAGCCCAGCAGGCCCACCTGCTCTGCAGTGAACACCTTGGGGCCCTGGGGTCCGTGTCCTTGGTCCTCGTGAAAGGAGCTTCTGCCCCTGGGTCTTCACAGGTGCCAGGACCCCGGAGTACTGGGAGTCACCAGTGTCCTGGAAGAGTTCCTGCTGGGGTCTTGCGAGGTGGGTCTGGAGCAAAGCCCTAAGCTTCTCCACCACCCTGTCCCCCCAGACCCTCGGCTCCCAGAAGGCGGGGAGCACAGCAAACTGTGGAAGACAGCACAGGAAGGAGGTGGGGACGCTGACTGTCGCAGGACAGGCTTCGTGGACGGAGGTTGCTGGGCACGGCCATGGCCCGGCTGCGGTGTGACCCGCGGCAGCGAGCGAGGCAGTGGTTTGGCAGTGGAGCTGGCGTTGGGCCCGCGTGGTGGGGGGCACGGCGTGGGCAGCCTGAGGGGGCCCCCGGGGCACCTGGGTCTCCTCTTCCAACTTGGCCTGCAGACACGGCCGTCCAGTGTCCCTCCTTTTCCTGTAAAACTGGACGGAGCAGGCCTTTGGGGAGCAGCGCCCGCGTCCTCCTGGGGACGCTGCGAGGCTGGCTCTTGGCCAAGTGCACAGAACATCCCTCCTTTCATCGGGAATGTGAGGAGTAATTTTCTCTCTTTTTAGGGAAATTTGGGTTTCAGTTACAAACCGATCTTTCTGACAATTTTTTTTATCTTGCTGTTGTTTAGTTGTAGTACTACAACTTGCGCTTTCATCAGACACACCCGAAGCAGAATCCCAAGGCCCGAGTGAGCAGTGGAACCACCTCGGCTGCGCTTCTGGCCGCTGGGCGTCCTTGGGCCTCAGAGGCCGCCCTCTTCAGCAAGGGCAGGTCACAGCGCGTCAGGCTCCTTCGCGGCCCTCGGGCTGATGCTTCCGGGCTGCACAGAGTCGTCTGTGAGGCACAGACAGACACACACCCCTCTCTGCACAGGTCAGCGTGCATGAACCTCTGCTGTGCTTCGCAGCCGTTATTCGACCCTCAGCGATGCTGTTACCTCTGTTTAGTCTTCGGGATTCGGCTTATTCTACCGTTTTGGTGTCTATTTAGAGAGCACTGTCCTCAGTCTGAATTTATCACATCCTTTTTCCCCAAAGCTTTCTTCTTAAAGAAAAACAAAGACCATTTATTGAATGATGATAGGATGAAGTGCATACTCATCTCAGTGAGTCTCAGGGCTGCTGCTATAGCGTTTGGACTTGACCCCAGTGTCTTCACCAGCTCTTCCTTTTGGGGTGATAGTAGTCAATACGGAGGACTGCTAGTTGGCAGAGGTGATTTTAAGCACTGAGTTAATGACCTGCATTTGGGCAGAGCCTTGGCCCAGTGTCACGCTGCCATCGACAGGGTGGAGGGCATGCATGCCTGCCCCTGTGGGGCACCGTGAGGGTTGCGGCCACGTGGAGACGGTGGGGGCTGGAGCCTGACCTTGAGGGGTGGCCTGAGGTGGGGTCACGGACGGCGGGATTGCAGCCCCGCAGAGCTCCCCAGCTGCCCTGAGGTCAGCAAGCAAAGCTCAGAAAGACTCCCTGGGAGAGAGCTGCTGGGGACAGCCACTCACCTTTCAGGCCAGACACTCTGGGGTCGGGCCTCACGTGAAATCCCAGGGAACAGAGGTTTTGGACACAGACACTTAGGCCAGTTGATCACTTCTGAGCCTCACATAGCAGGGAAGTGAACCGACTTTGGAGCCAGGTTTCTGGGTTCAAAGCTCAGTTTTTCCGTGAGACACATGACCCCGGGCAGATGGCGTAACCTCTGTGCCTCAGTTTCCTCATGTGTAATGGGCAGAGCAGAGGGCCTGCTGCATGGGGTCCCCCGTGTCGTCTGCTGGATTCCTCCCCCCAGAACCGAGGGCCCTGCCGGATGCACTGAGAGCCGTGGCCTTGGGGGCTGGCTCTGCTCCGGGAGGCATGTCTGCTGCAGCGTCCGGGGTCGTGGGGTGAGGAGGACCAGGGGCGACCTCCCCTGTCACTCTGAGAAGGGACGAGGCCTCGAGAACATGCAGTCCCATTCCCTCCTTTCCAGATTGCCATGCAGGTGCGACTCCAAGATGGAAAGTCACGGGAACCTTCTGGGTAAACTTGGAGCTCGTCTCGGGCGTGACAGGATCTTGGAGAGATGATGGGGTCTGCCCAGCGCTGATGGAGAAATCTGCCTGCTCTCCTTACCAAGGTTGCAGGGTCTGACCCACTGCCTATTGGCCAAGCTTTGTTTTTTCTCCTGAAAGACCAAGTTTTAGTTTTCCTCACGTGTTATATCTCTAAGCAACTTAGAAGTAACTAGTACGTAAAAATGACAAATACTATTTATTGAATGAGAGGCATCATTTATTTGCTGAATTAATATTCTCTGTTGCGAGAAATGCAAATCAAAACCACAATGAGGTACCATTACACACCAGTCAGGATGGCTGCTATCCAAAAGTCTACAAGCAATAAATGCTGGAGAGGGTGTGGAGAAAAGGGAACCCTCTTACACTGTTGGTGGGAATGCAAATTAGTACAGCCACTATGGAAAACAGTGTGGAGATTTCTTAAAAAGCTGGAAATAGAACTGCCATATGACCCAGCAATCCCACTTCTGGGCATACACACCGAGGAAACCAGATCTGAAAGAGACACGTGTACCCCAATGTTCATCGCAGCACTGTTTATAATAGCCAGGACATGGAAGCAACCTAGATGCCCATCAGCAGACCAATGGACGAGGAAGCTGTGGTACATATACACCATGGAATATTACTCAGCCATTAAAAAGAATTCATTTGAATCAGTTCTAATGAGATGGATGAAACTGGAGCCCATTATACAGAGCGAAGTAAGCCAGAAAGATAAAGACCATTACAGTATACTAACACATATATATGGAATTTAGAAAGATGGTAACGATAACCCTATGTGCAAAACAGAAAAAGAGACTCCTATGTATAGAACAGACTTGTGGACTCTGGGAGAAGGCGAGGGTGGGATGTTTCAAGAGAACAGCATTGAAACACGTATATTATCTAGGGTGAAACAGTTCACCAGCCCAGGTTGGGTGCATGAGACAAGTGCTCGGGCCTGGTGCACTGGGAAGACCCAGAGGGATTGGGTGGAGAGGGAGGTGGGAGGGGGGACCGGGATGGGGAATACATGTAAAAAAAAAAAAAAAAAAGATACACTATGGTTGTGATAAAAAATAAATAAATAAATAAATGAAAAAAAAAATATTCTCTGTTGCTGTCAACATACAGGCATTGGAGGATCTAACTTACCAGTCCCTCCCTGGGGGCATGCTAAGGCCTCAAACTGGTGGGTCCTTTAGGCAGAACCATCCTGAGCAGTGGGTCTCAGGGCTTCTCCCCAGCACCCTGGTTCTGCAGCTGGAACAGAAATGTGCTCTGAATCACCAGGTGGCTGTTGTCAAGCAGAAAACCCTCTTCCTCCAGGAAACCCGACTCCCGTGGTCGCAGCTGTGTGCTAGTCCTCATTACAGGAGACTGACCAACTTTGGAAAGGACAGGCTCCATTCAGAATCCCTTTATGTTGTGGCCACAGGCAGCCCTGTCTGTTCTGAAGCATCTCGGGGCCCCCGTCCTTGTGGGGAGACACACCCCCATATGGTGGGGCTGGCTGGCACTGAAACTAGTCTCTGAGCTGCGTGTGGCTGGACGTGCACCCCCTCTGCTCAGTCATCCTCTCTATGAGGATGTGGCATCTACTGATTGGAGAGCGCGGGTCCGCGTTCAGAGACTGGTTGGAATACGAGGCTGCTGAGTGACCCTGGGCAAGACACTTGACCTCTCCCAGCTTCAGTTCCTTTATTTTTAAAAAGGGGCAAATAATGTAATGGGGTTTCCCTCCTAGCTCAGTTGGTAAAGAATCTGCCTGCAAAGCAGGAGACCCAGGTTCAATACCTGGGTCAGGAAGATCCCCTGGAGAAGAAAATGGCAACCCACTCCAGTGTTCTTGCCTGGAGAATCCCAAGGAGAAGGAGCCTAACGGGCTATAATCCATGGGATCGAAAGAGTCGGACATGACTTAGTGACTAAAAACCAAATGATGTAAAGACTGGGATTCCCAGATGGTGCTAGTGGTAAGAAGTCTGCCTGCTAATGCAGGAGACACAGTTCGATTCCTGGGTTGGGAAAATCCCCTGGAGTAGAAAATGGCAACCCAGTCCAAGTATTCTTGCCTGCAGAATTCCATGGACAGAGTAGCCTGGTGGGCTATGGTCCATGGGGCCACAAAGAGTCGGACATGACTGAGCATTCACGCATGCAACGTATTATGAAGCTGAGTGAGTGTCCCTAAGAGTCCTGGCTGTTGCATGACTTGGGCCCTACGGTCATGATGGGTGTTGAGAAATGATGCCTGAAAGCCCCCCGTCCCCATTCCCCCAAGTGTGTGTGCCTCTCCAAGGCCCATGCTGGTGCAGAGGGGAAGCCTGGCTGGCATTTGTGTGCATTTAAATCTGTGCTGTTCGGACGGGGCTGTGCCCCTGGGAGCTACTGATGTCATCAAGCCTTCCGAGCAACTTAATGTGTTTGGTGAGGTAACATTTAGATGTATTTACATTCTCTACTTAATTAAGGATGCTCATCAAACCCATTTGGGCAACTCGATATTAAAAGAAGAGCAAGTAATCTTTATGGGGAATCATCCTCCATAGAAAGATTAAGTCAAGATTGTGGAATGCTTGGGCGGGAAACATTAACAAACCATCCGGCTCTTAGACGGGAGACTTGGGGGAAGAAATAAAAAGAAGGCCCTGGGTTGTCATTGCAGCCCTGCCTCGCTCTCAGGCTGTGCCAGCCAGGCCACCCATGAGCTGCGAGCCCATTAGGAGAACAGCTGCCCTAAAAGAGGAGCAGGCCACTGCTTCTATTTATTAAATCTGGGGAGAGGCTCCATCCATCACAGCAATAGGTTTTAAGTGTTTGCCGGGCCAGGGAGAGCCCCGTGAGCGCTCTTTGAAGTGTCTTAACTGAAGGTAAACATCTGAGGGACATAAATAGCTCGCTCCCTGACGATGAGTAACCTTGTCGGAGGGGCGGGTGCAGGAGCTGGCGCACATCTGAAAAGGAAAGGCAATAAAGGATCCTTGGGGCAGCAATTTGCACATTTTCTGCTCTTTGATATGTTAACTAGATTTTTAAAAAATGAAATTCTTGCCTTTTGAGGTCCTGGAGTAGCGATGCCTCCAGGAGGGCAGTTGGGGGTGGGGGAGGGTGAGTAGGATGACCTCCTGGACCAGACGTGAGTGACTGGGGGTGCTGCCCTGTCCAAGATCTGGCCACAGGGCCAGCGTGGGCCTCTTCTGCCTTCACAAGCCCGTGCATCTCAGAAGTTTCTCCTAAACAGGACACATCCATTCTGAAAATCAGCAGTGCTCTGTTGTCCTTGTTTGGCTGCTCAGTTGTTTCCGACTCCTTGCGACCCCATGGACTGCATCACGCCAGGCTTCCCGGTCCATCACCAACTCCCAGAGCTTGCTTAGACTCAAGGCCATCGTGTTGGGTGATGCCATCCAACAATCTCATCCTCTGTTGTCCCCTTCTCCTCCTGCCTTCAATCTTTCTCAGCATCAGAGTCTTTTCCAATGAGTCAGTTCTTCTCATCAGGTGGCTGAAAGTTTGGAGTTTCAGCTTCAGCATCAGTCCTTCCAATGAATATTCAGGACTGATTTCCTTTAGGATGGACTGGCTGGATCTCCTTGCCATCCAAGGGACTCGCAAGAGTCTTCTCCAACACAGTAGTGCTCTAGAGGACTCATTTTAAAAACTCACACCCTCCACACCATCTTAAAACCCAATAGTTCTGGATTTTTCAGTGCAGCGCTTTTAGCCTCAAGGAGGTTGACTGATTATGTTACAATACGTTTCCACGATGGGTCACATGGTGTTGCCTGTTATTTGACATGATATGTGATAAAATTGAGAGCTGGCTGTGCAAACCGGGAGGAAGTGAGGTCTTCCAAAAGTGGATTTTTTTCTGTACCTGTATTTGGTCGCTAAAACTTGAGTCCTGTCTTTGACTTTGACGAGTTGCTGGCTGTTGGAGGCTGTCACTGGCTGAATGGAACCTGGGTCCCGAGTGCATCTCTGGATCTGCAGGTGGTGTCCCTGGGCTCCCCTGGGAGCAGGCGGCATGGAGCCGGTGGGTGGTGCTGCCGTGTGAGCAGAGACGTCCAGTGGAGGCTGGTTATAAGGGTGCAGCGAGCCGAGGGGGCGGAAACATGCTGCTCAGTCGCCCTAAGAGCCGTGCCCATGCTTGGGTCCTGGAAACGTGGGCAGATCCCCGCGACGCTGTCCGTCAGTCCCCTCCCTGCGCCTGCAGGGGCTCCTGGCCTGGCTGCAGGCCCCCGTCTGCCTCCTCCGTCCCCCCCCGGCCTCCGAGGCATGAGCTTGTGTGAGGACCTCAGCCTGTTGCCCCCAAGCGCGGCCGAGGTCAGGCTGAGCATTCGGAGGCCAGCAGATCCAGGCTGCGTGAGACCCCCTCCTCAGGGAGAGCCCCCTCCTGAGCCAGCATGGCCAGAGTGTCCTCAGGGTGCTCAGGGCAGGAGGGCGGCTCCCGCGGGCGCTCCTCACATGGCCCCCACCCCGGCATCGGCCATGCAACCCCCAGAGCCCGGCTCCCAGACGCCCCAGCACGCGTTTCCCAGACCATGGGGTTCATGACACAGTGGATGCCAGCAGCATTCAGACAGAAGCAAAAGGCAACGGAGGAGGGTGAAGAGGTGTCAGAACACTGCTTCTGCATTTGTTTTCCACAGAGTGTCACCTGCAGGGACCAGACCGGACCTTGGCAATTCCTGGACCCGGCCATTCAGTGTCCCCCAGGCACTCTGTCACAGAGTGTCCCCGTGTGCCCCTGCTTAGCCCGGTCCCCTTCCTCTGGGGACTCTGAGGTCCTTGCTGGCCGTGCATGACCCTCCTGTCCCAGAAGAGGCTCTCAGCTA